GTTCAAGGATGAAATCAACGAGACCCTTAGCAATCCTGTCGGGGCTTCTATAGACCAACACAACATTGTTGCGCAGAGGCTATACACAGGTTAACTGCGAGTTCTTCAACAGCACCGTCTGGTGATCGGAAAATATACTTCTTAAAGACAGCAAGTGCGGAGTTAACGTACAAAGCAACGCCACCTCCACGCAGTTCAGAGGTGCAGTCACAGCAGTGCGTAGCCCGGCAATGGCACTTCACTGTCCGACGTCGGTGGACAACCACGTTTCAGTGAATGCGAGGACATATGGACGGCAGTCGTCGACAAGGGCGCCGACTTCGCACAGCTTGCTTCGCAGTCTACGCACATTACTTAAGATCACCTGAGGGAATTTAGCATTTGGAGTCCGGGATCGTGTGCCATCAGAACCGGCTCTGGCAGGGAGGATGTGGACCGCCGGCTCACCACATCATCATCATCATTATACACGTTAGCTAGAGGTGGGAAACACCTCAGCTACTGTGCCACAATACATAAAGGAAAAAGAAAAAATACAATAGTTGCATGCCAGCTGAGCTACCAGCAACGGATAGACATCGTTCCGGTAAGCTACCAGTCGGCTACTAGGCAAAAAGAAAAATTATTATGTAAAATTATATTGGACTACGAAATGAGATCGTGGTTGGAGGGGAGGCTAAAAGGGATAGGGAGACACAAAGAAACTCACAACACGAACACCACTGAGGTCGGCTCCTTGCCATGTCAACAAGTGTATCTAGCCAAACGTGTTCATCGTCTTTTGGACCCCAACCAGGGAGCCGTGACGCTCCGACCGAGGCCAGCTCCGAAGTGAGGGTCTTCATTCCTCTGGACCAAGTCATCGCTTGGCCGCCTATCCTCTTGTTCCATCCACACCCCTGGTGAGCAAACAACGCGGAAGTCGGTGGGCTGGCATGCGCAACACGTGGCCCAGCCATCAGAGTCTGGTGTGTGAAAGGACGGTGCTGAACGATTCAGTTCCTTTTTCGGCGCCGTAAACAAAGCGTCGAATACGCTCGTTACTCACGCAGTGTTCCCACCAAATGTGAGCCAAACTGCGAAAGCACGGATATAAGAACGTAACTAGTCTCTTTATGTCCGCCGATCTTAGGGGTCAGGTTTCGCAACCGTACAGTAAGGTCGAACGTACCGCTGCATTGTACATTCTTCCCTTCAGAACGAGTGATGTCGCGCAGGCGCCAGAGATGACGAAGGCTAGCAAAAGCACCTCGAGCTTTTGCTATACGGTTCGTGATCTCATCTTCAATCCCAAGGGCGCCGATACAACTTCCCAGGTAGTTGAATTTCCGAACGACTTCTAGCTGATCCCCACCAAGGGTCAGCGCAGGAGGCGATCCCTGCCAATCTTGGAGGAGTGCTTTGCATTTCGAGGATGCGAAGCAAAGCCCGAAGCGGCTGACAGCCAGTGCTAATCTGTCCAGCGCGGCTTGGCACGTCTGGGAGCTGTCACAGATGAGGGCAATGTCGTCTGCATACTCCAAGTCGAGAACTCGTTCTCCTGTGAGTATTTCCACACCTCCTAAGTCACGTTCTGTAAATGCAATCTCCATGAGTTCGTCAATAGCGAAGTTGAAGAAGAAAGGTGACAACGGGCATCCTTGTCTCACGCCGCTGCAGATATTGAAGGGTGGCGACAGCTTGCCGCAAGCCCTCACTCTGCCCGTGCTGCGCGCATATAATGCTCGGATAATATTTACATATTTCTGGGGCACACCTTTCTTGAGTAGACAATTCCAAGGGGCACATCGATCAACCGAATCGAAGGCACCTTTAATGTCAAGGAACACGACTACGGTGGGCCGCCAATATGTGTGACGGTGCTCCAACAACTGACGCAAGGTGAAGATGTGGTCGATGCAGCCACGACCCCGACGAAACCCGGCTTGCTTCTCACGAATCTGGCTTTCACGAGCGTCAGTCAGTAATGTGAAGGATTATTGAGGCGAGTAATTTGGATGCGATGGAGATCAGACTGATTCCTCTATGGTTGCCGCATTCCGAACGCGAGCCTCCTTTGAAGACGGGAACAATAACGGAGCGGCTCCGGTTGGTTGGGACAGTCTCCTGCTACCACAGTTTCACTAGTAATTCGTGTAAATCATCCACAAGAGCAGAGCCCCCGAATTTGAAAAAGGCTGGCGGAAGATCATCTGGTCCCGCGGCTTTATGTAACCAACCGTCCTATCACAAGTTCGACTTCTGAGCGAGAGGGTGGATCCAAAGGGAGAGCCCACGGAGCAGGGCGATCACTGGCCGGCGGAGAATCGAACAATACTGGCCGATTAAATTGCTTTTCAAAATGCTCAGCCCAACATACCAAACGTTTTGACAAATTGTGGATAGATTGTCCACTCTCGTCACGTATAGTTTCACTAACACCAGGTCTCCTGTTGCCCGTTTCCCGTATCAGACGGAATAACTTACGATGGTTACCAAGGACAGAGGCCACTTCCATCTCTGACGCACGAAGAGACCACCAAGATTCGCGGTCTCTCTTCAGGCTAGCACGGAGTCTTGTCCAAAGCTCTTTGCGAGTTTCATTGTGTTCGCTTCCAGCCGGGATATGCCGGCGAGCATCGATAAGTTCCAGAGGCCGCAAAGAGACCCAATGTCAATGTTGACTATTAGACATACCACATGAGGAATTGCCTGCTGCTAGTAAGGTCTGGCGAACATGTGACCAGTGACCTTTAATTATCTCCAGTGAGCGCTTACTCAACTCGCATGTCAGCGTACTTTGATAGGCATTCAGAACAGCTGGCTTCGCAAGTTGACTGGTGTCAATACTCTCACAGCGTCATCGTGGGCATCCGCCAAGACGCATCCGCATGTTAGCACATACAAGTGCATGATCGGTGTCCACATAAGTGCTCCAAATCGAGCGACAGTTCTGGATGCAGCCTCTCCAGAGGTAACTTATTGCAATGTGATCGATTTGCGTCCAAGGTCGGTTCGAGGTGGGTGGGCACCAAGTCACCCTCCGGCGAGTGCTGTGTCGGAAGTTAGTGCTCGCAAAAAATAAGCGGGCATCTTCACACAAATGAGGTAACCGCTCACCATTATCATTACGGGAGCCTACACCGTGCTGACCGCCAAAATGCATTTCATCAGTGGACAACTTTCCAACTTGCGCGTTCAAATCCCCAGCCAGCACAACAGTCTCCGTGCCTCTTCTATGGCGAAGGAGCTGGGTCAGTGAGCGGTAGAAGTCGTTCTTTACCGAATTATCGCTACAGTTTGTGGGCGCATAGGCAGCGATGATAAATAGATACCTATTAGTCCCACGCGACTTCGAAGCTTTGAACGAGTCAGCCAATCGGACCGCACACATCCGGCTAGTGATTGGAATCCAATCAACCAGAGCAGCTTCAGCCCGGGGACTCAGGGCAATGCCAAGACCAGCTTGGCCGGTGCTCGAAGATGCATCGTCACCGGATAGGCGCAATGAGAAAACACAGCTTGCATCACCTGAAGGGGATCGCAGAGTGAGCACAGAGCTTGAGTCTTGCAGGCAGGTCTCTGATAAGCAGCAGATATCGATCGAAAGGGTATCCAATGTTCGGGAAAATGCTGCCTGTTGACCGATCTGTAGTAATGTGCGTACATTGAGGCATGCCAATCTGAAGGAGGATCGAGAGCTCCAAATGGAAGCCGATGAACTGGAATGGACCGCTTGGTTGGACATGGGCTTGTCGACAGGAGTGGAGTGTCGCTCTGCGTTAGCATGTGAGTTGAAATAAGATAAACGCCTAGCAAATCATGTTGGGGGAGGGCCAAGTATCAGGGGGTTGAAAACGGGGGGATAAAAGTGAAATTGGAACGGGACGATGAGGGTGGAGAAGCGTAAGAGGGGAAAAAGGAGACGGGAAAGCTTGAGCAGTAGCATCCAAACCCCTATCCACCCTGCTCGATGCAGCAGATAGGGCACCGTTGATTATCCTCTGCGGTGGCCAGAGCATCAGAAATTTGTTTAAAGAGATTCATTGTATTGCGTGGGCAGGATACTGTCAGGTTGCCCAGGCCTAGACAGGAGAACGAGTAGGGTTCTCAACCAAAGTCTTTGGTTCAGAAACCTTACCGCAAGGCAGCGGGTTTGGCGTTGGGCTACAAGGAGTCCGTTTTAAGGAATAAGGTGCCACCCTCTTTCCAACCCCCAAACTGGAGGACCAAGAGGCTGAGTTTGTCTGACCTCTAACCACTGACCAATCTGGTATGAGTGACTCTGAAGGTGCAAAAGCACAACCCAGCATAGCTCAATGGATTACTGGGGCACACAAACCATCGCACCACGGTAAGGTCCAGCCTGATTGCGATGGAGGTCTAGCCACGCGAAGCTCCAAGTAGCTGGCCGTGAACGATGTTACTTACGAAGTCGATTGACTTGGCAAAAATAAGACCAATAATGGACGGAGATTGCCTCTCTATGAACCGTGTGGGCTGATTTACAAACTGATGTAGGGGGGCTTGCAACTTCTGTTCCACCGTTTCACGGGTTTCACGGGTTTGCGCAGAACGAGTAAGCGTAGCTTTTCGGTGGTTCTGTCTCGTGATCTTACAGCAAGGTCCTGATCTCGTCGGTAGGTACCAGATGTTGTGGTTCTCGACGCAGTAGTGGCGTTCAGCACAAGAATTCAGCGAGTTGACTGTGGGAACGTGGATACCTGGAACAAGAGAGTGGTGTAGGTAAATTCGGCGAAGTTGGATAGAAGCAAAATGATGGAAGCGCCGCGTGTTAGCTTGGCAAATGGCCAGATCTTAGCAACGTTGAAGACCAGCGAGGTAAGAGCCAAGCGTCTAGGCGCTGTTTGAAGGCCTCCGTATTGGGCGCTGAGACAACAGCTTCGGGGAGGGCAGAGTGCCGTGAGAAAATATTTCTGCTGAGCACCCCTTATTCCTCTCCAGGTTTGGCTAGGATAATAGGAAATATAGGGCGCCTAATTGGTTTAAGGATCTCTCACCTTAAGGAGAAATACACGGACCGCTACCTTCGCGGACCTCGAAAAAAGTAATTCCGGTTACGCTGCTTCGGTACAGCTGCACCAGCCCTAAGGATTGGTAGCGGAGAATTTCTCTACGGTAGCGTACCACCAGTCTTTATCGTCAGAATTCAACTACAACTAATAGAGGAAATAATAAGCCATTAACATAAAGGTTTGTTGTTCCATTAACAGAAATAAGCAATTATATTATGCTGAGTTACTGAACTTATATCTTAGAAATTGTCCAGTATGCAGTTAAATTGGAGTTCTTTAGAATGGTAGGGAACAGAAGGAGATCCTGTGTCAGCTCAAGCACTTCCTGTTCAAAGCAGGGATAGCGCTGATCATTGCGAAACGCCGTTCCGCAGCAGACCATCACGATTGAAGCGGAAAAAACACGGAATGTCACGGAGTCCACCGCAGCCCTTCCAAAGGAGCGAATGTTTGCTGACCTACAATGGTTTGAGATTTGCATTTCTAAACCGCTACCGCCCGGGTTTCCTGGCGTAACTGTACGGAAACCCATTAGGCTTGGGTCTGTGTCGGTCGATGCTTCGGGCGTCAAACCCCGTTTACTGGGAGTCAGTACAGTTCAGTTCAGATGGGGACTGCAACGATAGGAGAATCCCGTGAGTGTTCCATCTTGAGTGGATCGTTGAGCCAGGAATTGATGAAGTGCTCAGTTATTGATGGACCTAAAACGGAAACACCCGTATCGCACCCTGGCCAACCAGTTAATGCCCACGTTTCCTGCCCTAGCAGTCCCTGCTGTGGCAGCCACGTGAAGTAAGCAAAGGAGAGGAAGAGAAATCGAAGGTACAGAATAGGGAAGTGCACTTAAATAAGAAAATAATACCAATACGTGAAGAAAAGTAGAGAAAAGAAAATCGAAGTACGAAGATGCGAGTTACTCAGGAAAATGGAAAGGTTTCGTGTTGCCACCCAAGAGCGTCAAGTTGCCGCTCAAACCCCTTAACCGTAGATTCCCTGATAACACTTTCCGGAAGCATGTTCCAGCGGTCGATGACTGCGTGACAGCCGGATTTCCGCCCTAATCCGATCGGACCGCGGTTTGTCCAGCTTCAACGAATGACCGCGTAGAACGGACAATCTAGCGGGACTGAATAGCCAAGATAAATCTGGACCAACCTTCCCAGTCAAGATAAGGTAGGTTAGGATTAGGTCTCCTCTAAGCCTTCGGTAGTGCATTGAATGCATTCCCAAACTAAGTAGACGCTCGGGGTACGTCCGTCCCCGTAATCCCTCGACTAACCTAGTACCCACTCGCAAACCCTCTCCAGCTCCATTTTGTCCCGGACGAGGCACGGCGGACAAGCCTGGACGCAGTATTCCAGATGAGGGCGAACGAAAGCCGAGAACAGCCTCGTAAAGATGCCGCCCGTCAAGACTCCGAAGGAACGTTGTATTAACCACAACATGAGGAAACCTCTGCTTGCGGCCTTCTTCCAGTTGTCGCCGGAGTGTAACGCCGTAGAGTGTACGACGCCTAGGTCAACCTGGCTAGATACACGGGGGAGTTCGACCCCACCGACCAAGTACTTCGCAGGAGGACAACCTCCTCCAATTCGAAGAACGGAGCACTTTGCCTGATTTATGGGCAGTAACCATAAAGTCGTTCTTTCAACACCGGGCGAGCGTAATACGCTTCTGCGTTTCGCTTTTAAACTCAAGGGTTCTGGGGTCAGTATTCAACCTGACCTCCCATTGACTAATAGGTTGAAATTGACTGTACTGTGAGTTCTACGCGGTAACTCGGTTTTTGGCGTGCCATACTGATCGAGTTTTCTAGCTGAAGTATTTTGGAAACGGTGTTTGAATAAACACGGGAAGCGAAATTTGACTATTGTCAAATTTTCTCTGATCCAAGATATCTTGGATCGATTAAAGTGCTACTGGACATAGCGTCTCCTTGACGCTTACTGGTAATTTGTGCTGCTGTCCCCCT